TAACATAATGAAGTGCTGCATATAAAGGCAAAATATTAAAACCTACAGGTTTAAATTAGTATCAATAGAGAGAACTAATCAAGCATTTCGTCAAAAACTAGAGCCAACATCGCTCCAATTATAAAATTTATTTCCTTTGCAACTAGCAACCACCTTCTCCTCGAACTACCCCTTTTTCCCTGCAGTTGACAAAATTAAAGTAATCTCTAACAAAGTCGATGAAAGTATTCACTGAACTTTGTTATAACAAAAAAAACCCCAAGACGGAAATTTTCATTTTTCTAACATGTAAAAAAATAAAAATATTTGAATTCTTCGCCTTCTCTTACAACATGCAACTATTAAAAACTCGGCTGACCTAGCTCGGCTGGGTTGACAGGCGATTTATAATGACTGGGGAAAGAGGCGGAGTAGGAATTGTTGACAGAAAAAGAACTGAAACCTTGCTTGGTGGCAGGAACTGGACACAAAGGCAGGGACTATGAAGGGATGGGTTTTTTTTACTCACGAAAACTAGCCTTGAGAGAAAATTAGCATTTTTCAACAGGACATCTAGAAATTCACCTAGACAAAAAACCCGGCAATACGACCTTCGAAACTTGAACCCGACCCAAAAGTGAGCGCATGTTGAGCCGTCGAACCGAGCCGAGCCGAGGTTTAGCAGTCGCAATTCATAACGGACCGTTTAAAAATAGCTTCAGCATGTAGTACTTGCTTGCGTGAAACAAAATGAAGTGCAAAGCCATTTTGAAATTTATGGGGGAATGGGAAAATAATGTTAGGAAATAGCAGAAAATACCCATGAAAAATTGTGATTTTTTTAAATGATAATACAGTGATACGAAGACAAACCTCAATGGCATGGCCGCATTTGACTCGATTGAAGTTTTCTCCAACTTTTCCGTACCATATTTGATTAGCAGCATCAAGAAATACAATTTCATCGTCCATGTGCGGTACTACAGAGAGAGAAAGCACCGGATCCGTGAACAGTGTCCATGCAACACCTTCATCCGTATCACAGAGATACAGCTCTTTTTCGCCTCGAGCCAAGATCTGACATCTCCGATCTCTCCGTTTCCAAGAACGCAGTTCTAATAACGGTGTTTTCAAGTTCAGCACGTGGCGGTGTCTTCGGCCGTTGGAATTCTTTACCATAGTAACATCAGTTTCATCATGATAGGAACCTGAGACTTGCTGAGACATTGCTTCCGACGCCACTCTTGCAGAACCATAAATGTCGTCTGCTTCTTCATCACTGTCCTCTGACGCTATCACCCATTTTTCAAATCCTTTTCGGCTTTTAAGGAGCAAACGAAATTCCACTAGTTGTTTTCTAGGTGAGAGCTCGTCCACGGCCCACAGCCTCACTGGCATGTTCGAGTCCTCCACCGATACTGCCAGCAAATTCCTGTTTCTTAACTGACTTCTGCAGACTTCATATGGCCAATGTCCTACAGGTCGGCACCATATGTCA